TGGCCGTTTTCAGTAGTGTACGAGTTGGTGCATATTCCCCGTGTGCCACTTCCTTTCACACCACCAACAGCACACAACGGATTCTCAACACTTACTCTGCAACAACCAACGACCACCACCGACAACCTTGGCTAACTCGACCACCCATCTGCGTGGACCAGCTGACATAAGCACTGGCCCCGCCGCGTTGCAGTCTGCCACCTTTGCTAATATGTGGTCTTCTCTTCACGCTTCTTCCGTCTTGCCTCATTCACTTTAGTGCAACACACAAAGCATTCGCACGTGTTAGCATTCCATGCCACTAAACTTTAATTGCTTTTGAACCAGTAACGTCCACTTATGCGGTATTAATTGAACAGTGCAAGTGCATTTGTTCAGCTTGTCATACACTGAACAGCGAGAATTGAGGCATAAATGAAACTTCGCTGGGCACAACTTGCGCATTGCGAAAGCCATTCAAATTAAAACAGGTACCGCAAGTACTCTTATATCGCATGTGCTTTAAGATACCAGATTGCAGTAGTCAGTAATCCTGTCTTAGCAGGCAAGACGGTTAGAGGCAACCCTAGGACAAAGAAACTGTGTGATTAATATGTTGCCAGACCACTTGACTACAAACGATCAAATTTGGACAAGATGCTCTCGGAAATTTATGCACCCCGGCTGCTTTTAGCGCCAATTTGAAGCTAGCTGGAAGGCATGCGTTCGCAGGAACCTCCTCCACACTGGCAAAGTGCTTCCACAGTGAATATCACGTTTAAAAAAGCGGTGTTTCAACTCGAGTCAAAGTCAACCCACTTGGAGGGAGATTAACCCAACCAACTTGCCACACAACGCGCGTGTCCAGGCTAATTGAAAACACCAAGGTCGTGATGAAGCTCAATTCCAGCCTTCATCTGGACGCAGTTTTCAAACGAAACAATCCAGAAAGTGACGTGTGTGATTCGTTGTGGAGTAAATTGCATGAGCATTTGGAGTTGACACAAAACACAAGTCACGCGGTACCAGCAAGTTTTCCGACGGCATTGTGGAGGATTCACCGACGAACAATGACTGCACCGATGCTTGCTTTGACAGTTATCACAACAGATCCATTCTATGCCATGTTACCGACAATTCGGTTGCCCAAGTAATGGAACAGAATTGTTGATGGAGATCTCGAATGACAGCGTGCTGGCTCGAGGCTCAACACTCTCGAATTATGCGTCTGCAAGCCTTTGAGACACATTCCAACGTCCTCCACTCCTCTTTGTTACGTCCCCAAGGACTCTCGCGGCATCATTTGGTTCTGTTTCATCAATAGTGCAATCTCGTTAGCACAATTCACCAAACCTGCCAAATGCGTCACGCAACTGCATCGAGGTCTCTGTGTTCTTCAAATTGCCCGAACTTTCCGCTAATGTTGGGCGTCCCAGTAATCAGCATGGAATGCACTTTAAATGTTCATAATAACCGAATAGTGTCACTAAGTGGTTAGGTGATCAAACGCACAATATCTGGTGGTCAACTGGGATGTGGGTTTCTTTCAACACATTGCCACATTAATGCGAAGTAATTGACAGTATAACATGGTGATGATGCAAATCAAAATCATTTAACACAGGATGAATATGGAAGGGTGGAATGCTAGGGTATAGCACAGGAAAGTACCTTGGCATATAAAGATTAACATGCATCCCTCACTCCCTTCCTAATTGCCTACCTACCAATTTACGTACCTACTTAAAGCTCTCTTCTCGAGCCCTGGTCTTGTTATCATATTAGCCTGGGAAGGTCGGTTCTAGCTTTCAGCGAGGGATCTGGTACCGTTATTTGAGTGGTTTCCTCTTTGTTACGGGCAACGACGACGGCAACGTCTAGGACAGTAGAAGCCAGTTAGAATGCGCGAGGAGAAGGTATCCGCAACGGATGTAGCGGTCTTCCTGGATGCCAGCAAGAGCAAAGTCCCTCGTCTACTGCCAGATGTAGAGAAACGGGGCTATCGAAGTGGATATTTTTTCAGTCACCAATAGTGCGGGAAACGATGCCGGAAGCTGAAGACAGCTTCCTTACTGAGGGGAAACACTGTAGAGCAGCGACACAGGCGAACTGTGCCACAGCGGCCTTAACAGATGGCATGCAGGAAATATTTGCAGCTATAATGAGCGATTCTGCCAGCATGGATGATTCTGATGAACAGAGCCTCACGAATGGTTCTGGTTTCTTGTGACTGTTCTGTTGTACCAGTCTTCCTCATACTAGGGCTTGAGCTTTCACCGCTTCTACAGACCTAACTGCTTAGGCAAGAACACACAGACATCGGCAACAACTTTAAACACAATGGCTTTAAAAATATACCTTTTTTCGATATTTAATGGCATTTCCCTTGTAAAATAAACGCTTAACAACCCAGTGTGGAGCCGCACTTGCAGTAGACATGCATGCCGTTCTACTTCCTGATATTTGTCAAAATCAAACGATAATATCGCAGTTTATCCATATGTAAATTTTAATAGCTCAATGAATTTAACATGAACAATGTGCTTATATTCAATGATAAGGCTGAAGGGGATCAAATTAAATTCAAACAAAGATTCCATGACAAACGAATTGTGCTACTCACTATTGGGCCAGTTGTGTAACCATAAGTGAATTTGGCGCATAGCTTATTAGACATTCCCACTGATATCAAGGACAACGCACACTGTGCTTCCTTTCTACTGCACACATTTGACCGTGTTGTAGATATTCGTTTTGAACATGCTGCTGGTACGCAAACAACAACTTCAACTGCGTCCACCACACACAAATATTGCGCTCATTATTACGCCACAGTGACAAGTAGGATGCAGCCTTGACTTAGAATATATGTAGCGGATTAACAGCGATCGCGCCTGAGTGAACCCTGGTTACTGACCTGACGGTGACAATGACTCACCCCCTTTTTCATTGGTTACTGTATCCGATGCCTGTCATCCGTTCACTCAACCACACACCAAGACACACTTGGCTGGCGTGACGCTAATAAATGGTCGTGTCCTCTGTCGCCTCTCTTCTCTCCACTCTTGGGTTGTCTTGGGCTGTTAATTAGAGGGTTGTAAGGTAGTGCTAAGATCAAGCTACTGCATATATTTGAAAAAGGTGATTTAACCCTCAAATTTCAACTTCAAATTAGTCTTTCATTCCCTCCATAATGATAGAATTATTTCGTGTGAAAACATATCAGACTTAATAGGAATAACTACATTACTGTCATAAAATGGCTAATTAACCAAAGCACTCCACCCACAGTAACATGCTTCATTTTTTGCATATGTGCATTAATTTATTTCGACAGAGATGTGCAAATTCAAACTGTCATGTCCTCGCTTACCACAACTAATGAAAATGTCTAATTAATAAGGTTGACTTGGCATGAATGAATGGATGTTGCTGGTTGTGTACCAACATCATGTTCAACACGATGAATGCGCATGCAAAGATTATCTACGACACGGCATAGTACAGGCAGCAGAAGAAAACACAAAAAAAGGAATCTCAATTCACAATGTCCGTGAGATCAGTAAAAATGACTATAAAGGTTCACGCCAAATTTACATGAAGTAACACAACTCGCCCAAAATCAAGTAACATAATTCGTTGGGGAAAATAATATTTGCTTGAATTTACTTTGCTCTGCTTCGACATAATTATTGAATAAAAATAGGTCGTTTATGGTGTACCTCTTAAAAGGTCAACAATTTTATAAGAATTAACTGTTGCATTATCGCTGACTCTACAAGCTATTGAAAACGAATGTTGGCTAAAATCATGGCGAACAGCAGCATGCATGTTTACAGCCTACACAAGTAATTTGAAAAGAAAAACATTTTGATTATAACAAAGCGAATTTCAGATGCAAATTGGCTTGTCATTATTTAGTAAGAAAAAACCACGACTTGTACTGACTGGTAAATATGCAGCAGCTGCTGATGCTGATGTCCGTGTGTCCTTGAAACCGGCGATCGGACTGACTTTCTTGTCCATTGCTGTAGGCTTACCGAAATTCTAATTGATGTCTCTTTGGAGACTAATGAGTCCATACATGCGCACCTAAGGTTTGTATCGATAAAAAGTAATGTGGTTGAAGTCACAGACAACAAAGAAAGCAGCGGAAGAAA